GACAGTCTTTTTATCAACCTCCAGCTTCCCAACCCTCTCGTAGGATGCCAAAAATCTCAGTTTCAGGAGGCAACTCTCTTAACTGCTCCTTAGCAATCTCTCGAAGCTCGCCTCTCCTTCGCTAGATCCATGGATGCCTCTCCAAATTTGACCTTTTTGAAAAGAGGAAGGGAAAAACAGCAATCATCTACAAGAGTCCAAAAAGTATAACATGATGGAAATGAGGCAAGTACAAAATCAAAGTTGAGAAGACAAGGCATACCATGGAAAACTCCTCCATCCCCGGGAGTCATAGACCTCCAAAGACACTCCTTGACCGAAGTCAAGTAAAAGCATGTACACTGAGCCACTACTAAAAGCAGGACAACTATGTGGAGCTATAGTCCCATTGGAAGACCGCTCTAGAGTCTCAACTCCTACAACGGTACAAGGGCTAGCTCTATTGCACACAGGAGTCCTAGTCTGGGAAGTAGTGAGGGCACCACCGGGTCCCATCTCCTAAGAAGTAACCTAGCCATCGAACTTCAATCGAAAAGCATTAGGAGCATCAAACCTCACCCTCTTGAGAAGATGGGAAGACACCACCCTAAAAGCATAGAGAGCCTCCATCATCGCCTTATCAACAAGGCGTCTATAATTAGAGACAAGGTTAGTATAAAAAACCAGCAACGAGAAAACATTAAAGAGAGAACAGGATTGGAGAAAGCGGGTTCGCCTCTTACCCAATTGAAATCCATCATAGTCTCCCTCTCTAGCAAAAACTCATAATACCAATCAGTCGCCCATCAATGCCTAATAACTGTCTGTCATAACGCACCTTTCCACCATCGTTGATTTCACTAATTTGTGCTTCAAACTCAAATCTAGAGAGATAGAAGCATTTTTTGGAAAAAAATTATTGACCAAATTGCCCTTTGCTGGATTGTATGTTGTAGATATCAAAAAAATATCCAGATTCAAAAATAATTCACCTCAAATGGACAACCGAGCGCAAAGTTATGATTGTTTAAAATTTTATAGGTATTTTATGATTTTTTGATACTCTTGGCTTTGCTGGGTCCTCTCTCATGTCGCCCAGACCATGTGCCATCTCTGGCATCGCCTCCTATTCCAAAGCAGTGCCCAACGTCCAAGCAGTCCGCCGTTTGGCGACCTCGCCCAGCTGTCCACTTGACGTCATGTCACCCAACACCATGGATTCCTCTTCGCTCCTCAACTCCACTGCCTAGACCTTGGGCCCCACCAACAAGAGAACTAGCCCCAGGGGCATCACCTACAAAGTCAGCAGCATGGGTGCCACCTTTGCCTCCAAGGTCCACCTTTTAGGCACCGCCCTATCACCATGGAGGGCCTCCCCAAGCTTCTTTGAGCTCCTAGTCTCCATGAACTTACTGTGAGTTGAGGAAGAGAAGATTAAGGGGGAGAAATGGATGTGAGGAATAGTAGCTTCTAAAGGAAGCCTTTAAATAAGAGAAGAATAGCTTCTTGGAGAAGTCTGGAGGGATAGTTTCTAAGAGAAGCCCCAAAGTAAATGAAAAGAGGAATGAGGAGGGAGAGACCAGGGACCTCTATTTATAGGCAAAGACCCAACAAGAGCAATGCCAAAAAATACAAAAAATATACGGATATCAATAAACTCAACAGAGTCCCCGAAGATGAAGAAAAAACACATGCCCTCAACCCTTTTCTCTCACAAAAATTCATAGGTTTGGGGCATAAGGGGAAAATGATGAGCCCAAAAATCAACTAAGTCAGGCCCAAGTCACCAGGGCCCAAATAGGGGTCGCCTGAGCCCTTGGCGCCACCCATAAGGGGCTCTCCTGCCTCTCCTTCGTCCTTCTCACTTGCCACTCTAACCCAGCTCAGTATCTAGAAAGCCCGAAGCAATAGGAGCACGTGAGAGAAAATATCGGAATACGCCTCATGGAGATCTAGTCCTACCTTAATTGAACTTACCAAAGGAGTAAAGCCCTCTCCCTCACGTCACCACCTCACCATACCTATATAATGTAAGCCCTCTTCACATAGAGGGCATCACCTAGAGACCTCTACATCTCACACACCTCTCTACATTTCAAGTTTCTCTCTCCCAAAGTATTGTAATTTTTTTGGAGTATACTCTCCCAGCTACAGTACTCATCAATAAAGATCTCCGACCACTACTACCGTTCACGAGAGTGAATAGGTCACCCAGACCGAACCACCATAAATCTTAGTGTTGACTCCATATTTACTGTTGTGCCATTAATTAACTATTTACTACTCATTACTTGTATCTCTTGATATACTCGACTGTTGATCTTGTGCAATAATAATTAATAGGACCTCATACAAAAAATTTGCCTTGGGTTTCCGTTTGACTTGGGCTGGCCCTGGTGATGGGTTTTTGGATAATGGAGGCTGTGGTATTGATGGTGAGTTTAGATGGTGGAACCAATTATGTTGATGTGGGTTTTCGAATGATGGAGAAGATGGTGTCTTTCACAGTCGCCATCTGCTCTGTGCTCTCCCTCTCTCAAATCACTATACAAAAGGCGATGATTGAAGAGGTTGGTGGGTGGTGGTGCCAAACGATTGACTTAATTCACAGTGGCTTTAACTTAAAAACAAAATTGCCTTAATTAATGGTATCTTAATTGGAAAAAAAATTAGCTAATTAATGGGCTTAATTAGTGGTGTCATAATTTGGAAGTAATAGATTATATTTGATTTCAACATGTGTTAGGTAAGTTTAATTAATGCAATCTATTATATTGAGAAAGTTGGTTATTTTTTAAATAATAATTACTATGGGAATTCATTGGATGTGAATTTGATCTAACGAATTAATTAGATTTAGTGAATTAATTTCTATAACTAAATTTAGACATATTGTATTTATATAATTAAGTGAATTAGATTAGTATAATAAACAGAATTGAGTTGTTGTATCATTATTTGTCAAGATTATAGTGACGTGGGAGGGTAGACTATACATTTTATTGAGCTAATATAGTTTCTCACAATGCATAAGGATATTTTGGGTATTATATTACATTTTGTTGATGATGTCATCGTTTCTCTTTTCTTGTTTCAATTTCTAATAAAAGAAAGGGTTGTCCGTGTCTTACGTTTCCAACAGTCAAGGGGTCTCAGTGGAATTTTTAAAATATGAGAGGTCTGTATGTAATAAAGTTAAATGTCAAGACGTGTGAGTGAAAAATTTTCTATATATTAAAATAGCAATATTGTGCGAGTTATATACCACATTTAATATTATACTGATAGTCATGATGAAGATCTTTCTTTAGCATATCTATATTCTATTGTTTATTCCTATATCTGTATTTTTAATTTTATATCATATTATCAGCACGAGTCTTTGTCAAATTGAAGAAAGAAAATAATGTACCACTTTTATTTATCATATATCAAATGGTGATTTGAATCTATAATCACTATTTAAGCAAAGCATAAGATAAGTATTTACATGCACTATATTTTTACTTTGCTTCTCTCATAAACATTTCACAATTGATGGTAGAGGCAATCTTTTGCTCTGCTTGTTTGTTCAACGATGGAATATGCATGAATTGAATTTTCATAGTTTGAGTACACATGCCTAATAATATATAAATCACAAGAATGTGCATGCTGTTACTTTCTATATTATTTCTAACAATTACATACGCAACCAAATATGTGTTGTTTCTACTTGCAGGTTATGTAATTTACATTAACATTTAGAATGAATAGATTATTGTACATTGAATTTGTATAATTCCAATGAAATTGTTATATTTTATATTTCGAGTTGGACTTTTCTTGGAACCTTGAAGAGATCTACCTTGATCTTATGAATCTTGAAAATTAGTTATATTGGCGAAAACATAATGAATTGGTTGCCAAAAGTAACAATTATTCATTGTCAGAAGCAAAATAAATCTATTGTCATAAGTAGTGAATAGGTAGTGATAAATTCACTGTCAAAATCAAAATGAATAATATATTGAAAACTGTGAATTAGTGATAGTTTGATACAATAAATCTTAAAGATATAATTGAGGAAGGAAATTAAACATCTCTAAAGGATCGCACAAATATAATCATTATCCTTCACACCCTATTCTTGAAGAATAAAATTGATTACTTTGTAGTAAAATACCCACATATTAGTTGGAGAGATATGAGTTCCTGAAGATCATAATCCTCTGAAATGCTCAATGCACCTGATGCTGCAAGATCCGAACATACTTTAAAGTATGTGAAAAAAATTCTTGAAGAGTACATGTTAAAAAAAATAATGGATCAGATTTTATGATTCGAATGTGCTCCTATAGTAACACATTAAGAAGATAGATGCATAATGAATTGATATCATGTGGTTTAAAATAAAATAAATATATTGTACTTTTGAGAAAAATTGTCAATCTTATCTGATCGAACATATATCATTCCATGAATAGAATGTGTTTAAACGGTCATGAAATATAGTTCTTGAAGAACTAATTACTCTATACTACGTTGTATCTTGTACTTGCTATATTTCTTTGAATTTATATTTTCTTACATCCTATTATCTTGTACTTTATGTATTTCTATAATAATAGACATCAGCTAGCTAAAAACTAGTGGTCATGATTCTTATACTATAATGAAAGTTTAGAAAAAACCAATATTATGTTGCTACGAATGAACTCTATCTTAACGATGTTTTGTAGATCCAAAAAAAATCTATTACCAAATTTTAAAGGCATATATCGTAATGGATATCATATTATTCATTTTATTATTTCAAGTCAAAAGCTTGTGTTAGAGAAATTGCTTGGTTTTTACCTGAGGTTATATTATTTGACTCTAAGAATGATTGAACTATTTATGGCGATGCACCTAAAGTGTTATGACCTAATTTTTTTTAAGTTTTTGCATACTTATCTTGGACATCCAAATCAACTTTGAATCATTGTCAATACACGTGAGACCACTAAAGAATTAGAAAATTCTTTTAGCAAGTAATTATTAATGTATTGTCTGATTACAAAATAAATTGGTTATCAAGTTTTCCCTTGATCTATATATGATGTTATTTAGAAAGTCCAAGGTTGATATATCCCGATTATGGTTGTTGAATATAAGAATGTTGATATACATTTCTATGGGTCAAATACATGTGTAATTTACTGGAGTAAGTCAAGTTTATTAACTCGTTTATTACTATCAGTTATTTCATGTGAGTTTTGTGAATTCTAAAAATATGTTAATCTATTTATCCAAGTTGAATCTTGTTTTAAGTTTTAGTGACTTAAGTTAATACTATTAGAAAATAAAAGTTACAAGAGGTAACTTGTTTTTGAAAATCTATTTGAAAATTAAGTCTAAATTGTATGAAATTTATACTAGTGTTACATTTTTTGTGTACTTTTAATTTGAAATTTCTAGTCTTCAATGCTTAATAGAGTATTTGCAATACATTAGATCTTATTAAAGGGGAAGATTATTATTCTTTTATAGCATATAAATATATGTGATAAATATCTTTTTTCTTTTGTGTATAAAATATTGCAAAACGAATTTATCTGAATTACGCTAGAAGCATGAAATATTTGTCATAGCAACAGACAAGATTCTCAAGAAGAGAAAGAAACAATGAAAGATATTTCAAACGTTGGCACTCTCGAAGAGATGAAAGAAACATATAAAATGAAAGTTATATAAAGAAGTTGTCACTCTCGAAGAGGCCACACTCATAAAAAAGATAAAATAATCAATCCAAAATTTTTGTATAAACATCCCCAGAAGAGGAGTCTCTTAAAGAAAAATACTTAAAAATAATGAGATTTCAAGAAGTATGTGCGTACAAAATAAAATGAGATAATCTTCTTGTACCAATAGGCCTTTGGTCTAATAGTACTCCTTGTAAAGATTTTGTCTTCTTTAGGTCAAGGGTTCAAATCTCTCCTCTCCCTCCCCCAACCAAAAAAAATAAAAAAAAAACAAAAAAAAAAAGATTCAACTTCTAAAAAGCAACTATACACAACTCAAGAAAAAGTTATTGAAATAAAAAAATAAAAATGCATCCACATCATTTCAAATTATAACCCTTGAAAAGGAAAGAGTCACTCAAGAGACACAAACTCCTAAAGAGATACAAATATTTGCAAATGAAAAAATTCTATTAAGTATGCATATATAAATGAGGTGTGAGATCGTACAAAAATAATCATCAATGATAGAGTAACTATTGAAACTTAAAATTGTGATGATCTTAAACTATACACAATATATGATTAGTGATTACTAAAATTTAAAATTGTGATGATCTTAAACTATGCACAATATATGATTGT